ACCCACCCCCCTCCATTATTTTTATTTGTTTTTGCTTTTCTCCTTATTAGGCCACAGCCACTGTTCCTGTTCTTACAGCTTCATTGGCCCCAGCAGATTCTTTAGCTGAATCTTTGTTCTGTCTGACTCCATTAGACCTCTTTGATGAAAGCTTCAATTTTTTCTCACCACCTTCATCCATTGCAATCTGCTCTTGCCTGCATTCTTGGCTACAAAATGGTGTATTTCCCCTGAAATAATAAAAAATAAAAAATAAAAAATAAAAAAAATACCAATTTCAAGATTAACTCCACAAAAAACTTAGATCCCACTTTCAAAAATCACATTTTTTTTTTGTATCCGATAAAAAAGGCCTCAACTTTATCTAAGTATAGGGCAATTTTAGTGTAATTAACCCAAAAAAACAGGGTAAAATACCAATTTCAAGATTAACTTTAGCTACAACTTTAGCTAAATCTAGGGGGTCTTTTTGTAATAACCCAAAAAAAGGGGGTGAGATTTAAAAGAATCTCAACTAACCTGTACATGTAGATATCACTGTTTTGGCTCAGCTGTCGGTGGCAGAGAGAACAAGAATCAAGAAAGTGGGGTTTTGGGGTTCTATTTTCAGATCCAGAGTAGTAAGGCCTCATCTTCTTTGTTGTGTGTGTGTGAAGTGGCGATTTACCGGCGGCGGCGCGCGGCGGAGATGCGGTGGCTGATGGGAGGATAGTTTGTAGACAGTGGGAGGAGAAGGCTCTGTGGTAGATATGGTGGTTTTATATAGTGAAAGAAGTTTGGGAACTGGGAAGAGTTGTTATTAAGTGCTGCGTGGACCACCTGGACCCAGTGAATGGAACTAATCAATTTTTTCCGTAAGTTTGACATGACGAGCTCTTATTGGCTGAGACCACCGTCGCTTAGTGGTGGATGGACCACAGGAATATGTGAATTAAGGACTCTAAAATTTGGAGATGCTGCGGTCCCGTTACAGAACCATTCCGTCGGGATTTATAACTGTTAGAACAATTATACTCGACGGTCTTACAAACCTCGATGTAATGATTCTGAAACGGGGCCGTAGCATTTTACTAAAATTTATAACATTTAAACTCATAATAATAATAACAACAACAATAATAATAATAATTATAATAATAATAATAATAATATAATAATAATAATAATAATAATTTAAAAAAAAAGACACTGGCAGTTTTCCCAAATCATGTGGCAGAAATTGTAGTACAATAGTGCATATGATATGCTGGCAAACACTTTCTCCCTTTTCATGCTTTTTTCTTTATTTTATTTTTATTAGAAACTTATTTTGCTTGACAAATGTATATGTTTTTTGAGCATATATATATGGGACACTTCTTTTTAAATTCCTAAACCTCTTTTTAAATTCCTTTCAAGTCCTAGCACTTTTAAAATTCCTCATAACTCTCTATACCCTTAATAAAATTCCACTTAAATCCCTTCTATTAAAATAAATCAAAAAAAAAATAATACTTTTTTACAACATCCCACTAACATATTCCTTTTGTCATTAATTTATTATTTTTCTTACACATCTATTACACAAATAATATTATTTTAAAAGAAGTCACCACCCCCACTACACTTTTTCCATTCCCCCCACGCATCCATCGGGGACATCCCTTTGTTTTCTCAGTTCTCCTTGTTTTCCCCTCTCTGTTACCATCCTTGCCCAGGTTTTAATTAATTTTTTATTTCTCAGCTGTAACACGCCGGCTAGTATCCGTAGAGAACAAGTCCGACAGCAACAAACCCGGGCAACTAAATTATTCCGACGACAACCTTCTCTCGTCGAAAATTGATATTTATCCGGCAACATTGAGCTTTTTTCCCGGCGAAAACTTGAAGTAGTAAGTAATGTATGTATTACATGGGGACTTTGGAGTCCAAAAATAGTATTTAATTCATATATTTTTAGTGAATTTGTTATGGATTGAAGTTTAATTATTGTTGTTCATATTTACCCTAATTTATGTTATTGTTAGGCTATGTTAATTTGCTCTTCATGTATACCAAATTGATGTTACTGTTAGGCTATGTTAGGTGTTATTCACCATAAAATCAAAAAAATAAGATTAGAATAAGGGTAAAATACTTTTTCTCATCCGAACTATCACGGTTTTGGCGCATCACCATATAAACTAATTTTTTTTACAAACCACCATATGAACTATACGGGTTTGTCAATATGCCCCCTAAACCGGATATAAAAGTGGTTTAGGGGGCACATTGACAAACCCGTGATAGTTCATATGGTGGTTTGTAAAAGTATTTAGGGGGCACATATGGTGACCAAACAGCTTTTTCAGTCAAAACCATTTTTATATCTGGTTTAGGGGGCACATTGACAAACTTGTATAGTTCATATGGTGGTTTGTTAAAAAAAATAGTTTATATCGTGATGCGCCAAAATCGTAATAGTTCGGATGGGAAAAAGTATTTTACCCTTAGAATAATTATAGTACCACTATTTTGTATTTTGGTACCTCTATTTGTTTATATAGTACCACATTTCTAACTGTTTGGTACCATATGTACTGGGAAAAATGTGAAGTTGTTTTGTTTTATCCATTTTTTTTACAAACATGGAAGGAGTACAAAATGATATATTAGGGAGTTGTACCTACAAAAATGAATTGTATGTATTCTCTATGAGCCTTGGATAAACGCTTGACGAAGTGTACACTCTCATTGGTAAGAGGTGGCCGAATTTTAGTTGGGAAACCGTCATGTTAAACTATATTGCGCCGAAGGAAAAAAAGAGAGTTAATTTGTCCGATGATGAGGATGTGAGAAACATGATTCGACTACATCTTTGTTGGAAAATAAATATTGTAGATATAGTTGCCATTGAAAGAAATGAAAGCCCGGCCATTGGAAGAAATGAAAGACATGATGATAGACCGATGAACATGAGCCGGTAATGTTGCTTTTCTATTATTAATGAATTTACTATGAAATATGGTGTATTTGTATCTTCATTAATTTTTTAACATGAACGCAGGGAAAACGTACCTTCTTTTGATTTCTCGGATGGAGAATCAGAGTCGTTAGTGCAAGATAAATCGATTGATTCTTGGAAATATTGCATCAAAGGAGAGGGACAAATATTTGGGGGCGGCGCCGATGAATTCCGAAAGAGTGTTAAAAACTACGCAATTGCAAATAGGCGCTCTTTTAAGTATCGGAAAAATGATCAGCAAAAGGTGATTGTTTGTTGTAGCAATGAGGGATGTGATTGGAGAATATATGCATCAAGATACAAAGGTGATAATTTATTTGATGCCGACAAAAGTTGTGACGTGGATTTGCAATCTCGTACTTGTTCTTGTAGAGAATGGCAAGTATCTAAGATGCCATGTAAGCATGCATGTGCTTGTGTTGAGAGTAAGTCAATGTCCATCTATGATTTTTGTGATCCATATTATCGTGTTGGGATGTATAAGCAAGCTTATCGAGGTATTATTAACCCGATACCTAACTACGACCATAATGTGGCCCCTTCCTCGTTTTATCCTGATGATGTCATTCATGCCCCGGATGTACGTTCTCAACCCGGCCGCAGGAAGGAAAAAAGATTTCCTTCACAAGTTGATGTTGCGGTTAGGCGGTGTAAGCGTTGTCGTGGTCGTGGACACAATCGACGCACATGCAAAGAACGCATCTAGATCACTGGTGTATTTTTATTTTTTTTTGGCAAGTGTATTTTTGTTGTTGCCAAATTGTATTTTGTTGTTGTCGTGGTGTATTTTGTACTAGATTTGTGAAACTTTTAATTTGTGTATTTACATTTTCACTCCAGCAAGTTGGTACTAAATACCTAATATAAGGTACTAGTGCAGTACACAATTGGTACTGACTTTGGGTAAGTATGGTACTAGGTTTTGAAAATAAATTTTACCCAGTTTGTCTTGGAATCATCGCGGGTTGCGACAAAAGAGCCGCGACAAGTGGTACTAAAAACCTCATACCCGATACTACCATAGCGATGAATAACAGGTACAATTTCAGTCAAAACCGGTACCATAAGTGTATTAAGTGTTGTTTTTCCATTAGTTCGTGACAAATTTGTGATTAAAATTATTTAACCAAATTTCAAATTTATAATAAACAAATGTGAGATTGCTTATGGGCCGTATAGACATCAATTGCGACCGAAGTTCGGTGTTTTAATATGTTCAGCACAAGTGGTACTAAACACACGATATATGGTACTAGAGTCCTAAAATGTGGTACT